TTGTGTTTATCAGTAAATTTGATCAGCAAACTAATTTACTATCTGTAATTTTATTGCCAAAATCCATATGATCATGATTGAAATTCACCTGTGGGCCATTAAACTTCACAGAAATCATTTGAGGGTTTGACTATTTTGGTTGCCGTAGTCTGTAAATTTAGGAACACTGGTCGAACCAACCTAAGGGAGGAAGGAGAGCTCTGAAAACATTTGACTCACAATTTTTTTTTTCTTTTACAACTAATCAACAAAAAGTTAATGGGTGACCCTCCAAATTGGAAAGCTGGCAATGTAGGGGATATTAATTGCTGCCCAGTCCTGAGCAGAGACTGCAGGCAGTTACTCTTGAGTTGATATTTTAGAGCTCATAACTCTCATTTTGCATTTTCAGTCAACTTTGAAGATAGTGTACCAAATGATGATGTTTTAGAAGAATTGGCCCATAAGATTGGCAATAAATGGAAACAGCTGGGGCGTCGTTTAGGATTTGAAGATGATGCACAGCTAGCACAAATAGATCAGGCACCTGGACTTGAACTCTCCCAAAAAGCACTTCGTATGTTGAAAGAGTGGAAACAACAAAAGGGGCCCAAGGCAATAAACAAAATTTTATATGAGGCTCTCAGCCACAAATTTGTAGGGCGTACTGACCTTGCTGAGTACTATTGCACCGAAAAAAATAGTTTTTAGTTGCATTTTATGGCAAACTATCCTTACCAGACATACAAAGAGAAATTTAATGACAGCTCTAGCTAGCTTCTCTATTTTTAGTCAACAAGGCCATTTTGATTTATTAGCAAGTAAAAAACCTGTAGAGATGTCAACCATTAAATGGTAGATGAAAATAGATTATAGAATTAGGTAAACCCTTTCGGGTAAACCCAGAAAGGTATATTTCCAGCAAATGTGTTTTTTTTGTGTGTGTGTGTGCTTGGTATAAATTATATGTACAATTGAATGAGTTGTGTCAGATATTGTGGATACATAGGAGATATACATTGCCTGTGTTTTTTTAAGAGAATTCTAGATGTCATAGATTTGTAGAGAGAATTTTCCTGTTGAGTTTTCCTTTCACTCGTAACATTTTAATTATGTTGCATGTACATAGTGCAATCACCTACTATATTATGCTCACAAGTTAATTAACCCTCCCAACATCTTCTTGTAATTCTCCCCTCTTGCTGCTATACATTTCCTTGTAAATTTGTCTAGAAAATATGGATTTTGATCAAGATCCTTCTTGTCCACAGGTGCGTAGCGTGGTCATTTTTTCAAGTACGCACAAGTACATATGATCTAGAAACCTAAGTAAACTGAACGAAAAATACTGCGTTCTTTATTTCTTGTTTGAAATAGTTGTGTGAATACAAGCAAAGAACAAAGCGTCTTGCCCTTATTTTGAGCGAACTTGGCGCAAACACAACATTGTTTTCAAAATTTTCTGGTCAATTTAAGTACACACGTGAGTATATGCGTAGAGGACGCTACGCGCCTGGTCCAGTGATAAGTTTGAGAATTCTCATTACCTGATTGTTGGATAATTATTTAGAGATATTATTGGGAGAAGTTACATCTTAATCACTTTGTGAGTTATAGGGTTAAAGAGGTGCAAAGCTAAAATAAAGATTTTATCATGCATCTTTACCCAAAATGAGACAACCTGGAGTAAGTTTTTCGGTGACATATCAGTATACATTTTTTTTTCCACAAATAAGGAATAAAAAAATGCCTTTTATGTTTATGTGAATGCTTTGTATGCCTCAAAGTTTCCCTAAAATGAAGCTGCAAGTTCCTGTTGCTAAATTAAAAAAAGACAAGGAAGATAACTAACCAAACTATTTTGCCAATAACCAACAAGCAAGGGTAGTAAAAACAGAAATGTGCAATCAATTAATCCAAATTATAGCAACTGTTGTTTTCAAGTTGTTGTTACTTTAGTTCAATCATGGGATGCAGTAGAAAAAAAAAGGTGAAGTTTGGAGAACACTCGAGAAGCTAAGGTTTTTCTAAGCTGCCTGTTTAACAACTCGTGCCCATCCCTTATGCTCTCCAAACTTCTTGCTGACAAGTATGGGTCAATCCCCTAAGACCCTGATCCTTTATCAAAAAGGAAAAAAAGTTACTCTCCAGTGTCAACCTTATCGATGTAAAATGAGCATTTCCAGGTCTGAAGAAAACTATGATTGCCATAGGAGCATATTTTAAAATAATTCAGCTGCTAATGTCCTCATGCAGCCCTCGGGGCATGGCTTTCCTACAATGACCAGGCACCCTTAACGACCTCCCTTTCGTTTCACCCAAGAGCTCACTAGGTACGTGTAAAGCTCTTTAGTGCTAACTCTAATCCTCTCTGCGGGAAATAGGCTCTTGCGGGAACTAATCACATTTTGCTTTGCCACAAACAAAGGACAGAAGTCTTTAACCTCTGTCAGATCCTGCTTTATGTTCCACTGGATTTAAGAAATTTCTTTCGTTTGACCGAGACTACGCCGTGGGATTCAAGCGAACTTGTCCTAAATTTTCGAGTTTTCCGTTCCTCATAACCTGTTCCCATTAATCTCTTTAAACTTCAGTTCTTTATCTTGAAATATTTCAGCCCAACTTGTTTTTCTTTCTTACCTGCATAATAGCTCCTCATTCCCCAGAAGTCAAGCAAGATGATAAGGGAAGTGGCTCTGCCAAAAAACGTAAAAGGAAAACTCCTTTGGTATCCAGGTCTAGTAGGACAAAGAGGGTCAAGAAGGGTAAGAATATAAGTAGATTTTGTTATTTGTCAACTCAAGACATCTGTTCCATATATGCCATTGTGTTTATCAGTAAATTTGATCAGCAAACTAATTTACTATCTGTAATTTTATTGCCAAAATCCATATGATCATGATTGAAATTCACCTGTGGGCCATTAAACTTCACAGAAATCATTTGAGGGTTTGACTATTTTGGTTGCTGTAGTCTGTAAATTTAGGAACACTGGTCGAACCAACCTAAGGGAGGAAGGAGAGCTCTGAAAACATTTGACTCACAATTTTTTTTTTCTTTTACAACTAATCAACAAAAAGTTAATGGGTGACCCTCCAAATTAGAAAGCTGGCAATGTAAGGGATATTAATTGCTAAAGGCTGATAGTTTCGAAAGAAACTGTTTGGGGCTGCGTCGGTGGGAGTAACGAAATAATTTGGATATATCAACAAAGTTAAAGTGGTAAATTAGCCACCGTAACGATTACAAAAGCTGACGTTTCGAGCGGTATCCCTTCGTCGGAGCGTTAGCCCTTCGTTGGAGCGTTAGCCCTTTGCTCCGACGAAGGGCAAACGCTCGAAACGTCAGCTTTTGTAATCGTTTCCGTGGCTAATTTACCACTTCAACCTTTTTGATATTAATTGCTGCCCAGTCCTGAGTAGAGACTGCAGGCAGTTACTCTTGAGTTGATATTTTAGAGCTCATAACTCTCATTTTGCATTTTCAGTCAACTTTGAAGATAGTGTACCAAATGATGATGTTTTAGAAGAATTGGCCCATAAGATTGGCAATAAATGGAAACCACTGGGGCGTCGTTTAGGATTTGAAGATGATGCAGAGCTAGCACAAATAGATCAGGCACCTGGACTTGAACTGTCCCAAAAAGCACTTCGCATGTTGAAAGAGTGGAGACAACAAGAGGGGCCCAAGGCAACAAACAAAATTTTATATGAGGCTCTCAGTCACAAATTTGTAGGGCGTACTGACCTTGCTGAGTACTATTGCACCAAAAAATAGGGTTTAAAGGTGAATTTTATGGCAAACTATCCATACCAGACATACAAAGAGAAATTTAACGACAGCTCTAGTTAGCTTCTCTATGTTTTAGACAACAAGGCCATTTTGATTTATTAGCAAGTAAAAAACCTGTAGAGATGTCAACCATCAAATGTTAGATGAAAATAGATTATAGAATTAGGTATACCCTTTCAGGTAACCCCAGAAAGGTATATTTCCAGCAAAGATGTTTTTTTTTATTTGTGCATAGTATGTATTTACAAGTATTTTTTAAGTTAATAATGTCAAACATTTTAAAATAAAAATTCCTTTTGAATGAGTTGTTACTGTTACCTTCGCTTTATTGCAAAGGATCGTGCACATATACGTTTCATAACCGCAGTTCATATATATGTATTTCATATGTTTGTTGTTTGATTTATCATCTACGGGTTTATGTCGAATTAATTTGATGGCCTGCTCCCAGTTGGCTTGTTAGCTCAATTGGTAGAGCGCTGCACTAGTATCGCAGAGGTCAGTGGTTCGAATCCCGTACAGGCCTGAATTTTTTTCAGGTCTGATTTTCACTATTGCTTAAATAGTGCTTTACTGCGAAGGATCGTGCACATATACGTTTCATAACCGCAGTTCATATATATGTATTTCATATGTTTGTTGTTTGATTTATCATCTACGGGTTTATGTCGAATTAATTTGATGGCCTGCTCCCAGTTGGCTTGTTAGCTCAATTGGTAGAGCGCTGCACTAGTATCGCAGAGGTCAGTGGTTCGAATCCCGTACAGGCCTGAATTTTTTTCAGGTCTGATTTTCACTATTGCTTAAATAGTGCTTTACTGCGAAGGATCGTGCACATATACGTTTCATAACCGCAGTTCATATATATGTATTTCATATGTTTGTTGTTTGATTTATCATCTACGGGTTTATGTCGAATTAATTTGATGGCCTGCTCCCAGTTGGCTGGTTAGCTCAGTTGGTAGAGCGCTGCACTAGTATCGCAGAGGTCAGTGGTTCGAATCCCGTACAGGCCTGAATTTTTTTCAGGTCTGATTTTCACTATTGCTTAAATAGTGCTTTACTGCGAAGGATCGTGCACATATACGTTTCATAACCGCAGTTCATATATATGTATTTCATATGTTTGTTGTTTGATTTATCATCTACGGGTTTATGTCGAATTAATTTGATGGCCTGCTCCCAGTTGGCTTGTTAGCTCAATTGGTAGAGCGCTGCACTAGTATCGCAGAGGTCAGTGGTTCGAATCCCGTACAGGCCTGAATTTTTTTCAGGTCTGATTTTCACTATTGCTTAAATAGTGCTTTACTGCGAAGGATCGTGCACATATACGTTTCATAACCGCAGTTCATATATATGTATTTCATATGTTTGTTGTTTGATTTATCATCTACGGGTTTATGTCGAATTAATTTGATGGCCTGCTCCCAGTTGGCTTGTTAGCTCAATTGGTAGAGCGCTGCACTAGTATCGCAGAGGTCAGTGGTTCGAATCCCGTACAGGCCTGAATTTTTTTCAGGTCTGATTTTCACTATTGCTTAAATAGTGCTTTACTGCGAAGGATCGTGCACATATACGTTTCATAACCGCAGTTCATATATATGTATTTCATATGTTTGTTGTTTGATTTATCATCTACGGGTTTATGTCGAATTAATTTGATGGCCTGCTCCCAGTTGGCTTGTTAGCTCAATTGGTAGAGCGCTGCACTAGTATCGCAGAGGTCAGTGGTTCGAATCCCGTACAGGCCTGAATTTTTTTCAGGTCTGATTTTCACTATTGCTTAAATAGTGCTTTACTGCGAAGGATCGTGCACATATACGTTTCATAACCGCAGTTCATATATATGTATTTCATATGTTTGTTGTTTGATTTATCATCTACGGGTTTATGTCGAATTAATTTGATGGCCTGCTCCCAGTTGGCTTGTTAGCTCAATTGGTAGAGCGCTGCACTAGTATCGCAGAGGTCAGTGGTTCGAATCCCGTACAGGCCTGAATTTTTTTCAGGTCTGATTTTCACTATTGCTTAAATAGTGCTTTACTGCGAAGGATCGTGCACATATACGTTTCATAACCGCAGTTCATATATATGTATTTCATATGTTTGTTGTTTGATTTATCATCTACGGGTTTATGTCGAATTAATTTGATGGCCTGCTCCCAGTTGGCTTGTTAGCTCAATTGGTAGAGCGCTGCACTAGTATCGCAGAGGTCAGTGGTTCGAATCCCGTACAGGCCTGAATTTTTTTCAGGTCTGATTTTCACTATTGCTTAAATAGTGCTTTACTGCGAAGGATCGTGCACATATACGTTTCATAACCGCAGTTCATATATATGTATTTCATATGTTTGTTGTTTGATTTATCATCTACGGGTTTATGTCGAATTAATTTGATGGCCTGCTCCCAGTTGGCTTGTTAGCTCAATTGGTAGAGCGCTGCACTAGTATCGCAGAGGTCAGTGGTTCGAATCCCGTACTAGTATCAATAAGCTACGGGTTTATGTCGAATTAATTTGATGGCCCGCTCTCAGTTGGCTTGTTAGCTCAATTGGTAGAGCGCTGCACTAGTATCGCAGAGGTCAGTGGTTCGAATCCCGTACAGGCCTGAATTTTTTTCAGGTCTGATTTTCACTATTGCTTAAATAGTGCTTTACTGCGAAGGATCGTGCACATATACGTTTCATAACCGCAGTTCATATATATGTATTTCATATGTTTGTTGTTTGATTTATCATCTACGGGTTTATGTCGAATTAATTTGATGGCCTGCTCCCAGTTGGCTTGTTAGCTCAATTGGTAGAGCGCTGCACTAGTATCGCAGAGGTCAGTGGTTCGAATCCCGTACAGGCCTGAATTTTTTTCAGGTCTGATTTTCACTATTGCTTAAATAGTGCTTTACTGCGAAGGATCGTGCACATATACGTTTCATAACCGCAGTTCATATATATGTATTTCATATGTTTGTTGTTTGATTTATCATCTACGGGTTTATGTCGAATTAATTTGATGGCCTGCTCCCAGTTGGCTTGTTAGCTCAATTGGTAGAGCGCTGCACTAGTATCGCAGAGGTCAGTGGTTCGAATCCCGTACAGGCCTGAATTTTTTTCAGGTCTGATTTTCACTATTGCTTAAATAGTGCTTTACTGCGAAGGATCGTGCACATATACGTTTCATAACCGCAGTTCATATATATGTATTTCATATGTTTGTTGTTTGATTTATCATCTACGGGTTTATGTCGAATTAATTTGATGGCCTGCTCCCAGTTGGCTTGTTAGCTCAATTGGTAGAGCGCTGCACTAGTATCGCAGAGGTCAGTGGTTCGAATCCCGTACAGGCCTGAATTTTTTTCAGGTCTGATTTTCACTATTGCTTAAATAGTGCTTTACTGCGAAGGATCGTGCACATATACGTTTCATAACCGCAGTTCATATATATGTATTTCATATGTTTGTTGTTTGATTTATCATCTACGGGTTTATGTCGAATTAATTTGATGGCCTGCTCCCAGTTGGCTTGTTAGCTCAATTGGTAGAGCGCTGCC